AATGACTGGACATAGTAACAAAGAATATATTCTAGGGAACTTTGTAATGCACAGATAACATTGAAAGAAGTTGCCAGTAAGATACATTATTTTTTCTCTATATTCAAAGAACTATTACCTAACTCTGTTGTATTCATTTCATTGACCTCAGAAGGAAAAAAAAGTTGAGATGTCCCAGGGCTGTCATTAAAGCAACACTATAGTGTGAGGAATACAAACGTGTTCCAAACAGTATAGTGTAAAAATAGCTGTTTAACGCCCCTATCTGTGGAGTTAAAAGATGTATAACTTTTCTCCCTTTACACGGTGGCCTCATTGTGGCTGGCTCCACCTTCATGGCTGAGATAATCTGTCTTGCTGATCTTGCAGAGGCTATTGCGTATGTGCAGCAAAACACCGCACTGAGCCAATCAGCATCTCCTCATAGAGAAGCACTGAATAAGTGTCTCTTTCTCCCCCAGTCTCTTTGTGTGTCTCTTTCTTCCCTCAGCCCCCTTGTGTGTCTGTCTCTTTCTCCCCCAGCTCCTTTGTACATTTTTTCACCCCAATACATTTGTTCCAGTATCTTTTTCCCCACTAGCCACTTTTCTGTGTCTCTATCCCCCCAAGCTTCCTATGGGTCTCTTACCCCCCGCCAGGGACTTTGTGAGTCCTTTCTGCATTACTTCTTCCTCCTAGCTCTATTGTATATTCCTTTCTCCCCCCCTTTGTATGTCTCTTTCCTCCTCAGCCATTAGAACATATACATAGAGTCAAAAAATTATACATGCACAACAACACAGGCACAGACATACAGACACAAAACCATATACACACACACACAGATATAGTTATTCAGGTACACAATCACATATATATATATATATGTGAGAAAACCTAATTTGTTTTTTGGGTTTTCTTTCACCATTTGTCTATTTTTAAGTTTTATTGGTTCGGTAGATTAAACTAACAAACACCGACCACCCTCCTGGCTCATTAACTACAAAGGGAACCGTCAATTGAGCGCTATCTCTGTGTGGCCGCCGTTCGTATAGTCGAACGCCACTTGGCAGAGAAAACAGCGTCCATCTTGTTCGCACGGAAGGAGGCAGCGGGACTTGGTCGTCGAGTGTCTGGAACTAAAATCGGACACTCGACTTCCTGAACACCACTGAAAGCATACGAACGCTTGCTTCCTTTTGTTGCCAAACAGCCAGGAGAGCGCCATTCGGTAGTTCGGTTCCCACGAACAAGAGGAACAATCGCTCCTATGAGCCAGGAGGCTCTGTTCGTGGTTTTATTTGGTTTTTCTGCCTTTTCAAAATTGACCGACCACACACACTGAATTCGTGGAACTGTTTTGGGCAGGAGCCTCGTGTGCGGTCGGTGAACTAAGACTTCCACACTTTTCAAAAACCCCTGAACCGATCTGGTCACCCAGATGGGGGCTATCAGAGTACATGCTACTTGTGGGGATACCATCTCCTTAACCCCTTAAGGACACATGACATGTGTGACATGTCATGATTCCTTTTTATTCCAGAAGTTTGGTCCTTAGGGGGTTAAAGGGGTGTCCTAAGTTTTGGGGAAAATGTGTTCCTTTTGCCTGGAGATAATTGCTTACCTAATTATCTCACAGGCAGAGATAGGGAGTGTTTAACTATAATCAAGCAAGGTGATTGGTTGTCATGTTTGTGTACTGCGGGAGGTCCTCTTGCAGGGGGACTTCCATAAAAGCCAGTGTGGCATCAATAAAACATTATTCCTGTTGTACCCTTCATCATGTTTCGGCTGCTGTTTGGGTAACCTATTGCTATTTTGGAGAATTTCAGCCTGAGCGCTTTGTTTACTTGGGATTAATAGACGAACGAATGGTGAGCTATACTCACTCTTGCTCTCTGCCGTTCGGTTAAAAACTGATGAACCCCTAGCTACCACTTCAGGGTTCGTTACAATATGCACATATATACAGGCACACACTAATAATAAGAGACACACACACAAACAAATAAACACAGTCATACAGGCACGCTGTCATACAACCTACACATAGAGGTACAATGTCATACAAACACAGAGATAGAGCATACAGAGACATACAAATGCAGGCATACAGTTATACATACAGTCACATTTATATACTTACCACACTTTGGTGGAGCATGCTGTCTGGCTCGGTGGTGACCCATTTATGAAGCCCAACCTCATCACTAAGGCACCAACCACGCTGTGTGTGGTATACAGGGAGGCTTGGCTAGAGGCTTGGCTGGAGAGAGGTGCTGCAGCTCAACCATGTTACATGTAGTGACTGGCAGTACGGGGAGCACTGGCCTTATGGTAGTGCCAGCCTTGCTTTAATGTACAAAGATTTGACACATATACTGCATATTTTAACAGTAAAGTTCAGTTTTAAATGTCATACTTCGAGGGAACATCTCTGTGAAGTGTGGATTTAGAAATCTATTAGATTTGGACATTTGGTTTTAAATGAATTGTGTCACTCCAGTACCCCCTCCCCCCAGTCCCAACTGTAGGTTGTGGGATGGGGCTATTTAAAAATAAAGAATGGGCGGATATGCCTTTGTCTGCCCCCACATCCCACCGGGTCGGTCGGTGTTAATTACAATGGGGGGATGGATAGTGCAGTGGATAGGACATCAGTTTCTCCCAGGGTGGCTGGGCATAAGGGTGGCTGTATCATTTCGTGAGCAACATGTATTGTCACAGATCCACAAAGTGACCCAGTACCAAATCCAACCACATAGCATTATAAAGACCCTTGCTGGCATCAGAGTATGACCAGGCCTTTTAACAAATTACCAGCTGTACCCTGATGGTGGGTGGCTTTGATTACAGGTTTAAGTGATGCCTGACTTTCGACTCACCCTGTAGTCCTTGCTCTCTTGGTTAATCACTAAAACCCATTATATGCTTTCATTTTCCTGTAAGCATTGCTTGGTTATTGGACTAATTCAATGCTGTTACAGCAGCTTCATTGCCTCTCTGTATCTCAGCTATGCTAATCATTAGTGATATCCCGAACGGTTCGCCGAACGGTTCGCCACGAACGGTGTGCCGCGGACTCATCATTGAGTAAACTTTGACCCTGTAACTCACAGTCAGCAGATACATTCCAGCCAATCAGCAGCAGACCCTCCCTCCCACCTGGACAGCATCCATTTTACATTCATTGTGAAGCTGCATTCTTAGTGAGCTGTCCAGGAGGTGGGAGGGTCTGGGGGGAGGGTCTGCTGCTGATTTTTGCGAACCGTTCGGGACATCACTACTAATCATATACTTCTGAATGAATGCATGTTCCCACACACCTCAAATCATTAGGATATGAAGAAAAACAATGATAGTCTACCAGTTAGAATGGCAATGATAAATCAAAATTTTTTTAAATTGATTTACTAGTGAAGTATTGGGTAATGGATAATCGGTCTTTAAGTTTGGATCACCCATCTATATAAATTGATTTGTTATGCACAGACTCAGATTTATGCTGTGCTGCCAGTTGGATCACTGGCCAATGGAAAATAAGTTCTGGAATACATAAGATTCTTCTTTGTGGAATTACTGCTTACAGATATAAATTCCAGTGCACTTCTGCTGACTTGGCTAAGCTCCTTGCTGTGCATGTTTCTTTCTGTACATTAAAGATGCATTCACTTTGAAGGTTAGTGGAGTCTTGGGAACTGTAGTTCACAAATATATTCTCTGCCATCACTGATCTTGTATGTAGACATCTGTCATGGTTCTAGTGACCTCAGGGCACCTATGCTCCAAGTCCGGCTCGGAGAACTCTTCCAGGTCCGGGAGATAAATCACTATATGAACCCAGCAGACTACGCCAACTACCCTTCCAGGCATGCAAAGCATTCAATGAGACAGAGGATGACCTGAGTGATTTCAAGAGGCAGTGCTCTATACACAGTGTGGACCCAATCAACCGGGTTACCTATTTATCCAGCAAACTGCCTGGACAGAATCATTTAGAACTGTTCCAGACGATTCCAGAATGAATTAGAAATTTTGTCATCACTCCAGAGACTTACAGGAGAAAGTTTAGAGACTTGCAGATAAAGGAAAGTGACTCATATGTGGAATGAGCATACCAATTACATCTGGCTACTTCTAATTAGTGGCAATGGTGTCAAGTGTCAATAACAGAACAGGAATTGCAATTGCTTCTGCTGGAGCCACTCTATTAGCATGCCTCCCCCTCAAGAGATCAGATATTGGGTTATGGACCACCACCCTCTTAAAGTTGGAGATGCTGCCAGATTGCTGGATACTAATACTAGGAAAAATGATCATCCTACTTCTGCACCTCAAACAATCCCTCAATCTTACAATACTGACAGTCCAGCATTGTAATACCCTCAACACACCCTCCAAGTCTTCTACCCTGTCAGGTTGGAGAGCAGGAATACGCTGTTACTCTGGCCTGCAGTGGGTCACATTTGGAGTGATTGTCGATTACGCAATCATCACAATTGTCCAAGAGTCACAATCACAGGACATGAAATACAGCAGGGATAGTTAGGGGGTGTTACCACCACATGGAAAGACCTACACCACACCTATCGTTGATTACAAAGCAGAGTTCAAATTTACATATGAACTGTTACCGGTTACCACATTTATATTCCTAACTCTACAGTGTTTATTTTTTTTTTTTTACAAAAGATCTGTGGTCAGTTTTAATATTGACTATTGGTACAAAAAAGGGATATCTCATCTAGAGCTAGAATTGATTGGATGAGATAATCTTATGAGATAATCTTTTCTCTACTAACTGAATAGCATAACTCTCATTAAAGTAAATTGTGAAAATACTATAATTACCAGAGATAAGCTTATCTCATCTAATAGAATCTAGCCCCTAAGGTACTATATGTAAAATCAGATAAATTATATTTCAGATAGAATTATTACAATTTACATTTATGATAAAAAAAGTGTCTGACAGAGAAAACAGCATTTGCTTAATTCATGTAGTAAAACAATATATTTTCGTACAGTGGAACATTTTTAATTAAAACAATGCATTCATTAATGTGTTTTGGCACATAATTCAAGCTTGCAGGCACAGTACATCAACTGATTGCTAAACTGAAAAAATGTATAAAAAATAAATAAAATTGAATCATTGCAATTTTTATTCACAAAATGCCATTACAATAAATATGTAGAATACTTCTAAACAGTAAGAAATATATTTCAGACTGGACAAGATATTTACACAAGCATTTTCGCTCAAAATAAATTAGACTTTTATATGGCCTTTAAAAGAGGAAAAATAGTTAAAATACAAGTTTGTCCTAATGGTAACAAGAATAAGAATTTTGGATTGTTGGCTGATATATTTGTAAAACGTTTCAGAATTAATTAACATGTTTGAAAATACATCTATCGGAAACAATTTTGAAACTTCTTTTACAGCATTTCCTGAAGGTTTTTCCAATCAGGAAATCAGAAAAGTTTAGGATAATTGTACCCTACAGCATTACAAATAAACAACCCCCTCCCCAAGAAGAGAAACTTCAAATACTCTAAAGCCACGTGATGCTATGGAAGCCACGTGATGCTATGTTTGTGAATACCACATAAACTTGTGTTTTAAATGCCGTTTACATTTTAATGATGATATTGTATATTTAGCATATAAAACATTGTCATTAGTGATGTCCCGAACGGTTCGACGAACGGTTTGCCGCGGACTCATCATTGAGTAAACTTTGACCCTGTACCTCACAGTCAGCAGACACATTCCAGCCAATCAGCAGCAGACCCTCCCTCCCAGACCCTCCCACCTCCTGGACAGCTCACTAAGAATGCAGCTTCACAATGGATGCTGTCCAGGAGGTGGGAGGGTCTAGGAGGGAGGGTCTGCTGCTGATTGGCTGGAATTTGTCTGCTGACTGTGAGATACAGGGTCAAAGTTTACTCAATGATGAGTCCGCGGCGAACCGTTCGGGAACCGTTCATGGCGAACCATTCACGAACCATTCGGGACATCACTAATTGTCATGTCAAACATAGAATAACTGTAAAAGGGGACTCGCAAAGATGATGAAATATCAACAGAAAAAAATAGTTTTGTTGTGATGCTTTGTTGTGCTGTACGCTTGTACACAAGGTATCTCATAAAGATCTTACAACATAAAACCCACTCTCCATTGGCATCTGCGTAATCAGAGGAATGAAGAAAAAACGCCATCAAGAAGAAAAAGTTATCATATTTTACACCACAATAAAAAGGCAATTCTTTTTATACAAACCATTATTTTAAACAGCATTATTTACTGTTGCAATCTAGGGAATTCTATGGCATGAGATACACTTAAAGGAACACTATGGGGTCAGAAACACAAACATTTATTCCTGACCCTATAGTGTTTAACTCACCATTTAGGTGGCTTTCCTCCCTCAGCCCCCTTAAAAGGAATAAAACTCACCTTAATTCCAGCATTGTGAGGGTCCTCTGGCACTAGCTCCGCCCCCTTGGTGACATCATCAGAATTGCCAAATTCTTGCCAATCCAATGCTTTCCCATGGGAAAAGTCTTTCTATCCATACCAAAGATTTTTAAAAACAGATAAATCTAAATATGCTCATAACTGTAATACATTTGTCATATATTTTTCGATGACGACAAAAACAAGGTTGGCGTTACAACATGTGTAGGACTTACTCGGGCTGAAAGGGAGATGGCACATGTCCTAGATGCCCCAAATTCACTTCTGATAAAATTTATCAAAAAAGCATCTAGTTTTTTTTCTTTCTATTTTTGATATCATTTGCCTTTAGCATGTGGTTTGAATTGTACCGCATCTTTGGTGAATAAAATTGGTCTTAAACAAATTTTAAAACATTGGATTACTGCAAACGCAAGCTTGAGTGTGAAGATCTGTAATGAGGAACCAGTAGATATAAAGTTCATTTTATGCAGCTTGCCAGGACATTACACCTTTGATACACTGAATGAGATATTGTACACAACATACCAGAAACTCATAGCTTTTGGTTCCAGTACGCGTCATTACCCTGGACCCATCCTTGTTTTATTCTAAGCTTCCACGTACAATGCATGGCTAAATTGGTCTGCTAAAGGTACGTTACATATAGTGTCCTCCCCTAAAGTTAGAAAACTGTTAATAAAACGTCTTATAGTTGAGATCTAACTACAATCATATCTGATATAAGTGTTAAAATGGCAAAAAGGAAAGTGTTTAAGTCATCATAAATATGTGTGTCATACAAAGGGTTTGTGACATCCAGGATGATCTGGAAGTCACAGGAAAACTTGACAAATTGTATCGGTTCACAGTTTAATGATGCAATAGGGACTTGTGACCAGTAAGCTCTGCATTACATTAAATTACAATGGAACTACATTAAAAATAACACCAGTGCCCCATGAGTGCTCACATTTTGTAAAAGTAAGCCAAGCCCATTATATTTACCCTTTTTCAACATACTGGACATTTTATCTTCATGTTTTAATTACAGTTAAACATAAGACTGAGTAGCAGATTTTCTGGATACTGATAAGGTCTAAACATATTCAGGAATCTTTCTTACAATCTGTAGTACTGCCTTGTCACTGTAACTGTGAAGTTCCTGGATTAGAGGAACACTCAACGCAACATAACCACCAATATGCATTATAGTGGTGATGGTGTCAGGAGTGCCCTGACACCTCTACCCCCTATGTAAGTTGACAAGTCATTCTGGGTTTCTAGAAGCTATTATTAGGAGTTTTCATTAGCTCTCCTGAGCTAAGTTAACAGCGCAATGCAATTCTTTAAGTGTGTCAGCTGATTAAGTGTGTCAGCTGATTGCACTTTGCCAATCAGCTAAGCTTTGCATTACTGGACTTAGGTCAAGTAGAGAGTTTTTGGCTCCAGAAGAGGTAACAAGTAGCACCCAATGGACACCAAGAAAGAAGTCAAACTATTCTAAAACAATTTGACTACTTTTTTGGGGGGTGGGACCAGGGCAATCCTGACACTATAAACCAGGCATAGGCCACCTTTGGCACTCCAGATGTTGTGGACTACATCTCCCATGATGCTTTGCCAGCATTGTGGGTTTAAGAGCATTATGGGGGATGTAGTCCACAACGCCTGGAGTGCCACAGCCTGCCTACCCCTGCTATAAACACTACAACGTGCTATATGGTGATTGGAATGTTCCTTTAATTTGACCTGAATGAGGCATTCAAAGGCCATCAGATAGGATAACATGCGATAATATTATTATTTTCTTATTATTAGCATTTTTCACATATTTTACCAACATATTTTGCAGCTCTTTACAATTCTACAGAATAATCTGCTATGTCTCCATGCATTCTGCTGCTTATAACAATTCAGTAAAATTCCTGCAGATAAAAACCCAGTCCTGATTGGTAACTTTACACGGGGAGTTGTGTTGTGACTAGCTTTGTTCATCCATAAAAAAACATGAATGCAGTTAATGTATCAGGTAATCGAAACTACACTGCTGGTCTCTTAAGAAGCCTCACATTTCCACTAAACAAGACATTCACAGGTGAATATGCTGTTTGCTTGCATTTCTTTCCATAATGCATTTAAAAGAGGTCATTTACCTGGAGATTCCCTTTAAGTCCCAATAAGTTATAATATTTTGGCATGACGTTTTTCAGCACTTTACATCTGTTTAGTGGGTAAATTCTTTAACACATGAAGCTTTGCCATTAAAGGACCACTCTAGGCACCCAGACCACTTCAGCTTAATGAAGTGGTCTGGGTGCCAGGTCCTTCTAGGGTTAACGCATTTTTTCATAATTATAGCAGTTTCAGAGAAACTGCTATAATTATGAATGGGTTAAGCCTTCCCCCAAAGCCTCTAGTGGCTGTCTCATTGAGCAGAAATGCTTTCCTATGAGACCGGCTGAATGCGCGCGCAGCTCTTGCCGTGCGTGCGCATTCAGCCGGCGGGGCGTAACGGAGGCGGAGAGGAGGAGGAGAGCTCTCCGCCCAGCGCTGGAAAAAGGTAAGTTTTTACCCCTTTCCCCTTCCAGAGCCGGGCGGGAGGGGGACCCTGAGGGTGGGGGCACCCTCAGGGCACTATAGTGCCAGGAAAACGAGTATGTTTTCCTGGCACTATAGTGGTCCTTTAATGGAATATTTAGCCCATAGATTTCAGGAACTAACACTGCTTTATGCCCCCTTTAACAGCTAAACCTTCTCATCAATTCATGCCATTCAATAATATTTTACACAGATTTGGCACAGCCCCAGAACTGTCTTGGGCTTATTTTATGTTCATTGATCATTTCAAGTGCTTCATTCCCTAGTGCAACAAAATAAATATTAAATCCATTTTATCTTACAATGTTATTAAATGTACATTGATAGCCATACTGTCAGAGTATTAACAGTTTTAACAGACATTTTACAAATGGTAACTCTCCAAAGACCTCCTAGGCCAAAGATAGATAACCTTGGCTCTGCAGATACTATGCAAATTACTTTTCCCGTGACGCTGTGGCAATCCAAAACCTCGCAAACATCAAGGGGCATGTTAATTACCTAACGTGCAGTGCCAAGGTGATGTATTACTGACCAACAGAGTTATTTACTAAAATGAGAATTCAAAGTGAATCTTAGATTTCAGGCAAAATTAACCTACCTCGAGGTGTAGCTGACTATTTTTCAAATGTTGATATTTTGGCCTGAAATTTAAAAATGAATTTTGAATTCATCTTGAATTTTCACATTTTGTTAAATAACTCTGGTAGAGTTACATTCATATCTCACAGTCTTTCAGTCTTTAATACCATGTGCTTGTATAAGTTTCAAGGTTTTTACCCCCCCAAATTTGTTATTTATACTTATTTTTAAAACGGTTACACTGCTGGTCATTGCTCACGAAATGTATAACATTTGCAGTAGTGTTAAAATACGTTATCTTTTCAATATAATTAATATCTGTATTTGTCAGTATCAAATCTAATGCCCTTTTGTTATCTGATAAAGTAAAATAAGTTTGCTAGAGTCTATGAATATAACTAGCTTCTGATACATTAGATACAATTTCAGAGTTTAGTGAGTTGTGGTATGAGTATGTATGACATTATTGTATACTTCCTATATCCAGCAATGTCTGTCCTACAGGAAATAAAACCACATTTTCATTATGCAAACAAATGTTGAAAATTAACATAATTGAACAAATCGATTTTTTTCAATGATTCAATTTCAAGGATTGCATAAAATCATGAAACGTAGGTGTATTTGCTAAATAGTGAATTGCGGTGAATTAAAAACAGAATTTGTAGTAACAAGAGCCAAATAGCAAAATGTTAACTATTTTGCAGGTCAGCTACATTCTAATCTTTTTTTATTTTGGCTAAAATCTTGCAAATCTATTTTTCAATTTTCCACAATTTACTGCTTAGTAAATAAACCCCTTTATATTTTTTCCACATTACAAAACAAAAAAAAAAAACACCAGAAAAATTAACTTGCTTACAAAAAAAGTGCTTTGTCTATTGGTAAGATCACCAATAATCAGGTTTGAAAATCAGACTGAAATGTTCACTAAAACATTTGAAAATATAGATATTAACAGAAGCCCATAAACCAAACATCTATTTCTAAAATACTTTTTGTCATTCTCATTATCCACTTAGTAACATATAAATAATAATGTAAAATTTGCACAAAAAAATTCATAATAATTAATTGAAAATTAGCCCACAAAAATAAGGATCCCTGAATCAATCTATGAAAGTCATAAGGGTTTCAATGTCCATAATTAAGATTTATTCTAATTATTTTATAGTCACTAAGCAATATGCTAAGTACCATGGTAATAATCTTATTTGTCATCAGCCATAAAAGAATAATCTTTGTGGTCTGTTCACAAAGTTCCACCGGACTTGAAATATTACATCAAAATGGCTAAGATAGACAAACATTTGTATTTCAAACTGAATTTTATTGGCACTTAGGTCACCAAAAGGGGAGTTATTTACTAAACAGTGAATCATCAAAAACTGGAAATAAAACCGGTCAAAATAGAATTACAACATTAATTTTACATTGATTTTAGCCAGAAAGATAAGTTGGAAAATTTTGCAAACACAGCTTTTTTGGGCTTAAATTTGTCGAATACATTTTCCATTCAACTCAATTCACTGTTTAGTAAATAAAATGCCATTAGCAAACAGACCCCTAGGACAGCCATGTCCCTAAAACAAAAACAAAAACACAAAACTCACAGAAACACTAAAAACTAAACTAAAAAAATAAATAAATATTGGCCTGTAATTGGCTAATTATGATCTCTGCACCCTATGTAATTCTTGGCAGAAAGAGGGCAGACATACTAAAATGTTTGAAATAAAGCAAATACAATAATTAAATGATAATGCTTTGTGTGATTGGTATGGATTGAATGTAAATGGGATACGATGGAAATGGGTGAGATATGGCTCAAAGTGGATGAAATTAACCAAGTCGCAGAAGGTATACACAGAAGTGAAAGGACTATGCTTCATTTAATCGACATCCACTTTACCTCCTGCTGTATCTTTATAAGAGTTTCTCTTTAGGATTAGTCTGCCTTTTGCTAAACCTATCTCTGAGGATGATGGGAGTTGCAATCCAAGATCAGGTTCAGAGTAACTAGTAATCTTTCTGTTCTTTACAAAAAAAGTAAACAAAATATGCTAGGATAAACCAACTTGTTTATCTCCAGAGAGCTCCATTTCTTACTTTCCTCGTGTGATTTATGAACTACAGTTCCCATGATTCTCTGCCTGCTAACTAAATTTCTAGTGATCCAATTACCGACCACCAACTGGAGATCTACCCTAGTGTGACCCAGCTATGAACAAAAAATAAATTTAAAAAAATCTACATTCTACGTCATAAAGTACATTTTGTTCATGTCTGATGAATATTCCATTACATTTTGGGCACTTTGATAAAACACTTGGCACTTCACATTTTTTTTGTTCTTAGGCACAGTGTGACAAAGTCAACTTTGTGAGTCCTTCTCTGTGCATTTTATACAGCAGTTTAAACTCGGCAGGAAGCTGGTGGGACTCCTGCCACTTGGTGGTGAATTTGGTCCCTTTCTTGTCATAATAATGGTACGGCAAATCCTTCCCTGTGTTGGGATCCCATCCAAATGGCCAAAATCCATACAAGTGAATTTCTTCACACACCGAGGAAGCAAGGGTGTACATTAAAATACCTGTGCTCAACCTTTTTGGTGATAAGTGCTTGTTTTTCCAATATCTGCAAAGACATAAAATATGTTAGTGATTGTAGCATCCATTACAGGTTAATTGTTAATTGTGGTACAACATTCCAACATTCCAACTTTGCAACTGGTGTCTTCTAAAAGGGATCTTGCTGATTGTAAGGAACTCTCAATTGCCAACAGCAGCAAATTAAAGAGTTTCTACATTAAATACCAATAACCACCAACTGCAAAATCAAGGTGGTAAATAATTTAATAAAATGTTGCTATCCACGAGATCAACACTTGATTCAAGTAATATAAAAATATTAATGATGCGTTCATAGAAATGAAAACAAATTTCGATGTATCACTGCAATAACTAATATAATGTTTGCAGCAGTACAAATAATTACTGCCCTGTAGGATTACTCCTTCTGAAGACTTCAGATATACTTTCACCATTTCCCAGTATGGGAATGTGCGCTGGGATTCTTATTTATTATTATTATTATTATTATTATTATTATTGCCATTTATATAGCACCAACAGATTCCGTAGTGCTTTACAATATTATAAGAGGGGGGATTTCACTATAAATAGGACAATTACAAGAAAACTTAGGTTGAAGCTCAAACGAGCTTACAGTCTAGAGGAGGTGGGGTGTAAAACACAATAGGGCAGGAAATAGCAATCAAATAAGGTGAAGCAGAGCTGGAGGAGAGAGTAGAGTGCTGCCCTTTAGGAGAGAGCAAGAGACAGGTATGTGAGGTAGAGGTTACTCTGGGAGGCCATAAGCTTTCCTAAAGAGATGGGTTTTAATGCACTTCTTAAATGATTGGAAACTAGGGGAGAGTCTGATTGCGGTGGGCAGGCTATTCCATAGGAAGGGAGCAGCCCGCGAGAAGACCTGAAAGCGTGAGTTGGCTGGAGAAGGTCACAGGCAGAGCGAAGAAACCGAGAAGGGGCATACCTATGGGTCTGTGAGGAGATATTCTTGACCACAAAAGACTAGAAAGTGACTCCTTCAGAGTTGCTTTGTTTATTGGAAATTACATAACCAGAGACTGGCCAAATCAGTGTCCGGCTAGATCGGAATTACTGCTTCTGAGACTGGCTGTATCACTATCAGACTAGTTAGGATGCATCAAAGGTAGTGACCATGTACATGTATAGTTCCAATGGTTTCGAAACTGAAATATCAAGACTGCCACCATCTTAAAATTCAGATAATAGACGTCTCTATTCTGGTACTTCACAAACTTGAACAAATCTATTGCTTTAGTTATGGTTGTAACAGAAAACATTTATTGAGAGATTTGCACATATGGTGAGACGATGACCACACTAAAGGGTAAAAATTCTGTCAGTTTACTATTTCAGAAAATGTATTTTTTATTGGGGGATAATATGAAATAATGTGTTTCTAAACTGCTCCAATTGAAGAAACAGGTCAAGAATTAAGTATTTTAAAAAACAAACCTGCGCTTCACTTGGGCTTTGCATCATGTGGATGAATATATAGTGAACTAGTCAATGTAAGTCTTAAACATTATATGAATATATAGTGAACTAGTGAATGCAAGTCTTAGACATTTCATAACAAAGAAGCAATATATATGTGCAAAGCATTGATAAAAATAGCACTGTTTATTTCAACATAGAATTATTATAAAATGACCCCATAAAATGTCAAAATACCAGGTATAAAATACTCTCGATCATCATCTTCTGAACAATGTATTCATAATTAGATTTTGTAAGTTGCAAAACTGATCCATATTTGTCATCAGCCCAGTAACTAGATGAAATTAGTATTTGGTTCCTAATTTGGCTCCATTAGTAGTTTCTGAAAATGAAAGCCTTCTGTAATTTTTCATGGACATCCTGAATGTCTATGAATCTGATCTGCGATCTACATATCCTCCCCTTATTTAATATCTATAAAGGATCTAGAGAAGATTGTGACATTTAATCTTCAAATTACACCTTTAAACAGATCTATCACAGCTTAAAAACAGAAACTCTGGGCTTCATCTGATTTACGCTCGGAAAGCAGATTATAACAGTTCTCTGGACAGGAGTTTATTGTGAAATATTGGAAATTACTTCAATATTGCTTCAATGTGTCCAAGGATAATCCAATTAATATTTTTGCCCTCTTGAACCAAACTGGCTGTTCCTCACCGCCATTTGCTTCAGGGGGGTAAAATATCTTACCAAGGAATATTTTTATTCATATTGTGCCATTAACACAGAAGATATTATGTTTCACAACCTTGTCAACTAATATTTGGCAATCTTTATTACTGGTTAACTCAGCCATGGCAACCAAGACTCAATAAAGTCTGGACAATGAAATTAGGCCTGCTGTGTGAGAGCACAATCACAAATAACGGATAGCTTCTTGTAATAAAAACTGGCAAATCAGATTGGATGGGGTTACACATCATGATGAAATGCCAAATCGTATTTAATCAGTGAAGGTAGAATCTGACAATGGCTAACTTGGAACCGGGGAAATCATTTGAGATTATTAATGTGTCAGAAGCAATTTAGTCACTTTGTTTTGGATGGTGGGGTATTAAAAATGTTCACATCATTTCTTATACAGATTAAAACTACACGTATAGACAACTGGCTTCTTAACTTTAATTATAGTTTAGAACCAAAAGACACCATGAGAAATGCAGGGAATAAGACCTAGACATTGTATATCCTTGATCTATGAGTTTTATTCTGTTACTATCCTATAGCCAAAATATTTAAGTCCCCAATCATTACACCTAAATTAAATTACCAAATCAAGCAGGAGATTCTATTGGTTGTCCTTATTGTAATTCACTCAGTGGCATCTTTCGGCAGGATAATGTATCCTGCCACACTGAAAAAACTGTTCAGGAATGATTTGAGGAACATGACAAAGAGTTCAAATTTCAAAGCTAGCAAACCCAGGCTGCCTCCCCTCTGTAATTAGAGAGTTGTTCCCCACAGTGCAGTGTTCTTCACTCAACGCGTCTTCTCACTCATACCCTTTCCAAATGCTCCCCCTTCCCTTGCTCTGTTATATAATGAGCAGACAATACTAGAGTTGAGTTCACCTAATTTTTATGCTTTAATGTAGGAAATAATTTTTTTCCCTGCGTTTCCACTGATAATCAACCACTGATAATCACTGGTGTCTTCGTTATCATTACTAACTCACCTACCTCTGTAATCCCTGGTAACTGAATCCATTTACCTTGTCATCTCTCATTTATGAAACCTCAATATAAATTGATTGACGAGAAAAAATTGTGGAATTTTTTTAAATGGACACTATAGTGTCAGGAAAACGGTTTTCCTGACACTATAGCATCCTGAGGGTGCCCCCACTCTCAGGGTCCGCCTCCCGTGGCGCTGAAGGGGTTAAAGCCCCTTCAGTAGCTCACCTAATTCCAGCGCTGGGCTCCCTTACCTCTCCTCCCCCGCCGATGTCAGCATCCTCATCCGACGTCACAGGAGCCGAATGCGCATGTGCGGCACTGCCGCGCGCGCATTCAAAGTGTCCGTAGGAAAGCATTTCTCAATGCTTTCTACAGACACTCTGCGTGATTGAGGCATAATATGCCTCAATCATTGCAGATGCGCCTCTAGTGGCTGTCTGGAAGACAGCCACTAGAGGCTGGCTTAACCCCAAATGTAAACATAGCAATTTCTCTGAAACTGCTATTTTTGCATCTGAAGGGTTAAAACCTGAGGGACCTGGCACCCAGACCACTTCATTGAGCTGAAGTGGTCTGGGTGACAATAGTGTCCCTTCAAGTTGAAAATGCAAAAATAAACTGAATAGTTGGAGACAAAAGTGTTCCATCAATCTCTAGACATCACTTTCAATTATTGACCTATGCTCTTTATTTTATTATAGAAATAGACATGCAATAACATATTTATTGATTGTATTAAATAAGTGCAAACCACCAAAAATCAGATTTGAATTGGAACTAGTGGCTTGAGTACTCAAGGCATGGATTGAATTACTTGAAGAAAACAAAAATATACATTTTAAATAAAGTAACTCTTACCTGTTGACATGTTGCATGATATTACCAGGCCAAGCTAACTGAACCTTCAGCTGCTCTTTGTGCTCCACAAAAAAATCAACTAATGTTCGTGTAACCGTAGCAGATGTATGAAAGAAGAAAGCTGGGATCCACAAAATGGCCCCATCAAGCTTTTTTAAATTCAAGAAGAAATTGTTCCGATCCTGTATGGTCAACAGATTGTTATAATACTTTTCGAGGATACTTGGGTTAAAAGTGGTAAGGTTTGTTTTCTTTCCAACGTCTTTTTGGAAAGCCTCTGTTGGGGCAAAGTTACAACGAAAGACAAAGTCGGACTTGTCAATTTCACTTCCACATTGACTTTCTGTTAGAATTCCACTGTTTCCGACAACAGCACAGATATTATAATGCTTATTCGCTATGGGTGATGTTTCTGGAAGCAGTGATCTGAAGTTATTGCTGATAGAAAAAACATATTTGTGGCTGGAATAATCATAGTGCATTAGCTGCCCAGTCCGTACACTGTTCTTGGTCAAAGAGAAATTTCTGATTACATCAACATTCTGCAGTATTTCTCGCCTAAAAAAAATTAAATAAATCAATAAAGCATTAAGTTTAAAATAGTTATATGATATCTGACTCTAGGTATAAAAAAAGGTTCATGCAGGTAGGTCCTGCTTGCAGGTGGATGATCTATAACTATATTCAAAAAGTCTAAACAGCCAACTATTCCCGTAGCACAGTAGCTGAAGGTGTCAGGCTAATATTTATTTTTCATTATATCTGTCAATCTATTTTTATTCAAGCAGTGGTTTATACTGACTCTGTCTGTGGATAAAAACCATGCCACTGTTCGTATTTTATCTGCTAAACACGTAATAGTTGTGCATTGAAAATAGAATAGCAATATTGAATTTTTCAATTCAATAGATTTTGGTGAATACACCCCCAAAAAAATCCTTTAAAGTACAGTTTGTGACTTTTGCCTAGCCATTTCATTTTTAAATTAGTCTCTATTACCTTCACTGTGTCTATCAAATGTGTGTGTTCTTTTAAACAATATTGCAATGATATAAATACTGTTTTTCAAAAACCAATATATAAATATAAACCTTATATCTGTAAACCCAAAATTCTAATCCTAATATCAGCCATATATTGGTCATTCTTATTTGCTGTCAGAAAACCTATAACAGCTCCCCTCTTATCCCTTCCTAACATTACTCATTGTTAACTACTATTGTTAGGGGGTTAATTAATGATTCTGATTTGCACATTCACGCATTCATGATATTTATTTCAAGTAAAAAGGACACAACAGATCAGTTGAGAAGGAACGTGTTTGAGATTGTACTGAGGCAGAGAACATGTAAGAAGAATAAATATGGAAATATCTTATTTTGGTCACAATAAATTTATGTGAAAATTGTAAATAGTAACCTTAATCCCTTACCTTGAATGCAATATTCAAAAGCATTTTCTTCTAAATGCTTTTGAATATTAAATTCAAGGTAAGGGATTAAGGTTAGATACTATTTACAATTTTCACATAAATGATAGAATACAATGACAGAAGTAAATATGTACATCAAACTCACCTTTGTCGTGAAAATGCTGTCCTGTTGAACACCCACTTTGCAGGTTTTTCTTGTAACTCCTGTGTTAATGAATTTGTAATTGGTACAAACGAGGGATCCAGAAATTTCATTGCAAATTGAGATCTAAAAAAATAAATATACACGTCAGTATTTATGTGATAAACTTTATACACAAAATCCAATGCACATGTGACTTATATTAAGAATTCGGTTATGTAGTACTATCAATTCCACAGTGCTACTAACAGGTATAGCAAAATGTGACACAAGAAAACAAACCAATATGGTAGAGTTTACAGGTTAAATGAAATGTGACAAGTGGAACATAACATATTAAAGGTATGCATTGCACTTTTCATACATTCTTATATTTAAAAACAAGCTATGACTCTAATTGGTTTTCTTAATGTACTATTTGAATATTGTATTACTCAATTAATGTTGTGCTTCCTGTTATTTTGCAAAGAAAAAAAACAACCCATAAATTATGACTGATAAGGACTTGGTGATAATTTATAATAAAGTAAATTTCAGGGTTATGGGGCAATTCTGGAATACCTTTGAATTGCGAGAGGATGTTATAAAAGATTGATGAATGTTAGTTTCCCAGATGTCTTAAAACTACAAATCCAATGGTCCATTGCCAACCTTTAGAAAATGCTGAGATATAAGATGTTATTGAAGGATGTGAGGTCTCTGTAAGTCATGGTAAAGAGTATTCTTGATGAGTCTCTGGAGCAACAGAAGACAAATGATAGGTAGAGAAGATAAGCCAGCAACAGCAGCTTTTATATAGTGGAACTGAATTAGCCCGGAAGTCATGAATTCTGATAAGTAGATTGTAGGAGTCAAGATGGAGGATGATAAAGGAATTGAAGTTTAAGTAGTTTAATGGGATATGGACAGGTTTGATCAATATTCTGCAGAGTGATTAAATATGAGGTGGACGTGGAGTGATTAAATATGAGGGGTGAGGAAGAGGACAGAGTTGTAAGTAATCTGAGATGTTGTTCTTGAGTTGTTGGTATGATAGCAAGAAAATAAAAAATATGGAAGTGTTTGAAAAACAGTAATGGAATGGATGGGATGAGGAAAAATATGTTTTTAGTTTTAGAGTTAGTAGGTTATCCGTCTGCAAATGACTCAAGAAAGCATAAAAGAAAAAAATAAACAAACAATAAAACCAATATAAGCTGAACACAATGAGATAAAGTGTTCTCAAATGAGCAACCAGTGGCAGCTCTAAATAATATGTCTTTAAAAGCGAACTAAATAGTAAGGGTGCATCTTCAGTTGGTAGAATATACCGAAAAATTAAAGGTTTATGTATAGGGTAAATGCTAATAAACGGAAGCTTGGCTTTACAGATCTTAGAAGATCCAGAGAAACTGCAATATTTACATTGCAAAATGGACCTATGCTCCGGAATCTGACGCTGGACGTCCTCACGCTTTTTCCCCATAGGAAAGCATTGATTCAATGCATGCGCAGCATTTGCCTAGAGCCCGATCAACTAGGGGCGTCAGATGGGGCGGAGCTTCAACCCAGCATTGAGGGACATTGGTGCTGGGATCAGGTAAGTAAATACCCATAACCCTTTATTTATCAGAGTGGGGGGCGCAAGGGAGTGAAAAAGCAGCAGGAGTGATAGTGCCAGGAATACTGCTTTGCATCCCTTTAAATATGAGGAACAATATACACAGGATTTAATCATAAGTTCTACTTTCATCCACAGGAGTAAAATTGTCTAAATTGTCAGCACCAATTATGCAAATCTAATACTTGGTACAATAGCAGTGTTAAAGCAAAACTGATTGGAAGCAATCATTGATCATATAAACCATTCGAATATTTTTCAACATTTATTAGTTTGCACCAACAATAGTGCCTGTTTTGCTATGTGCTGAGGTTGGAAGATTACTAGTCTAATTTGAAGTCAATTTAAAGAAACACTCTAATGTCAGGAATACAAACATGTTTGGTTGTTCCCCTAAATATTTTGTTGTTGGGGCCAACCCTTAAAAAGCTAATTTAATATAATGAATTACCTGATTACCCAGCATGCCAGTCTCCTGGCTGAGATCATCATTACTGATGTTCATCATTACTGCCTCCTCTAAAAAATGTCTTGGTGCTCATATCCTGTTGTCCATATTCTTTTGGTTTTAACTGATGACATAATCCAAAAAGATCATGCACATTTTTGCTCTATGAACGAGTGCCCAATATCTGCAAATAAATGCTAGTGAAGACTGTACCAGGTTAATTGAAAAATAAATTATGCTGATGGTAACATTGACGAATAATAGTTCTGGGCTGGCCTCGGCAGTAGTTTCCTTCCAAGGCCTAAAGCCACATTACGGTTTTCTCTGTAGCCTAAATCTTACTGTTGGTATGCCTTTAAGACCAGGTAAGAAACCATTGGTATAAAAGTCAAGGTCCTCCCAGTACCCCTTAAAATGATTGGCATAAGTGGTGGCTAGTATTTAGGTAGCTCATTTTCAACTGAACATTTCCCTCCAAATAATTGTATGTACTAATAAAATTAATAAACAATAATCAAATCCCAGATATTAAAATGAGCAATTATCCTCTATTTTAAATGCTCATGATAAAATAAAAGATGGGCTAAAAAAGTTGTGGAGTCGTTACTCTTTCTGTATATGGTAAAAAAAAGTTTTAAAATGCATATAAAATACAATTTGATTACACCACATCCTGCATGTACAGAGGAATCATGCCTTATTATGACATCTGATAAATGCTGAAGTCTTCACAAGATTGGTATCAGACACCATATTTTATCAGACAATAAAATATGGTGAAAAATTGAAAAAAAAAACAATTATTTGGACTTTTACTTGAAAAATCTTTTACTTATCTACAAAAGCTAATGAAAAAAAAATGCTAAATAGATAAAGAATTTTGTCCAGAGTTTAAAAACACCCAGTGTTAACATGTTCTTAGCTTTTTGCAAGTTATATGGCTATAAGTACAAGTAGGAAATTGCTGTTTCAATATATATATTTTTTAAATGTATCAATAGTGACATTGTAACACTATTATCTGTCGTAAATCTCTGAATCACACCCCACATGTACATTTTTTTTTTTTAAAGTAGACAACCCAGGGTATTCAATATGGGGTATGTCCAGTCTTTTTTAGTAGCCAGTTAGTCACAAACACTGGCCAAAGTTAGCATTTATATTTGTTTGTGTGTTAAAAATGCAAGAAACGCTAACTTTGGCCAGTGCTTGAGACTAAGTGGCTACTAAAAAAGGCCAAACATACACCACTTGCAATACCTTGGGTTGTCTTCTTTTGCAAATGGTATACCATCATGGGGGTAATTCTCATTCCTGGGCTACCATATGCTCTCAATGGCAACATAACCAATCTGACAAATTTCAATGAAAAAAAAAAGAAAGTAAAATCAAGCCTTATATTTGACCCTGTAACTTTCACAAACACCATAAAACCTGTACATGTGGGGTACTGTTATACTCAGGAGAATTCGCTGAACACAAATATTAGTGTTTCAGAACAGTAAAACTTATCACAGCAATAATATCATCAGTGAAAGTGCTGTTTGTGTGTGAAAAATGCAAAAATACGTCCCTTTCACTGACAATATCATCGCTGTGATATGTTTTACTGTTTTGAAACACTAAAATTTGTGTTTAGCAAATTCTCCTGAGTATAACAGTACCCCACATGTAGAGGTTTTATAGTGTTTTTGAAAGTTACAGGGTTAAACACAGTGCTAGCAAATTAAATTCTCTGGACTTTCGGCCTAGGTTGTCAGGCATGTCTCTCAAATTGCAATCAATAAAATTACTTAATTATGTAAAAATATTACATAAATATGCACGTAGAATTTAAATATATATACATATTTATATATTTGAAGTCTACGTGTATATTTATGAAATTATTTATGTAAATATGTATATGGACATATGTATATTTCGTATTATTTTTATTTATTTATTTATTTATACATATATATATATATATCATTTCATTCTAAGTGTATTTTGATATAAATATATATATATATATGTTAATATCAAACTAATGTTAGAATAAAATTACATATATATATATATAATTTTTTTTAAATTATAAAAAATTATTTTTACATTTTTTTATTTATTTTTATTTACTTAGTTATATTTTATAATAATAATATATATATACAATATATATAGTTATTATATATATACGTGTGTAATTTAATTATACGTGTATTTTTATATTAATATATGTATATATAAATATAAAAATACACTTAGTATGACATTATATATATGATATATACATATAGTATATATAGATATAATACATGTATATATATCTTATATATATATACACATATATTATTATTTTTTTACACTGATTGATTTTATTTAACTTTTTTTTATTTTACAGATGCAGGGGACTGCCTGTCAGCACAGATAGCCCCCCTGCAGGCAGATACACAGGCACCTATGGCGGTCATGTGATCGAGTGATCACGTGGCCGAGGGGGCCCTCATCTGCCGCGGGGAGACTGTCTGGGAGGAACGCTGATCGCCGCCGGGGGAACAATGGCAATCAGGTAAGGACCGTCATCGGTCGTCAAGGGGTTAACACAGACTAGCTACATGTTGATTAGAAAATATTACAACTCTCTTTGGGTTTTGCTGTTGAGGGATTGAGAATCCACCTTTTTATGATTAAATAAAATAAAATAAAAATTTGATTTTCTGTAAGGCTAGGGAGTGTTATATACATTAAGGCTAAATACAGAAGAGTATATCACTCTGATATATATTATAAATATGGTGTTATAATTTAGAGCCACCGTAGCCTTAGCATGGACATGTCCAAACAAGATTATGAATCCTCATATTCCAAAATGGCCCTCACTAATTTAATCCATATAGCAAATATATTCTAGAATGGGAATAATGTATATTATGCTGTGTTTGGCTAAATGAAGATTACCTATTCTCATAAAAAAATAATTCCCATCAGTATTGGAAAGCATTATTAAGTTCGTAAGAAGTATTATCTCTGTCAAACAAACGGCTCCTCACAGACAGAAATCTAAATTGTTGCTGAAATCAATGGTGGTACATTGTTAAAATCAATATCAGAACTATCAGAGTATTAAAGAACATGTCCAACATTCCTATTACGTGTGAAACACAATGTCAGGAATCATTTTCTTTGGCCATTGTACGTGGGCGAAGACCAAATATTGTGAAGACTAGGGTTATCTTGTACGTAAGAGAAAGTCAACAACCAACTTTTCACTGTTTACTTTGTGATGTTTATCTCTGTAGAAAAATGGACAATGGAGCATAGCATTAATATATGAAATATAAAAACGCAAGAAGGTGCAATTTTTTTTTAAAATTACAGTCTATATATATATTTTTTTTTACTACCTGTACTACCTATTATTTTCCTTTATTTCTTAATTTAAAATTGTGTTCTATTCCACTTCCCTCCCTATATTCTCACTACTTAATTGATAACTAATACATCTCTCATCCTGATCTTCATTTTTTTTTTAAAGTTGGTGCATTTATAGTCTTGTTATTTAAAGGACCACTATAGTGCCAGGAAAACATACTCGTTTTCCTGGCACTATAGTGCCCTGAGGGTGCCCCACCCTCAGGGTCCCCCTCCCGCCCGGCTCTGGAAGGGGGAAAGGGGTTAAAACTTACCTTTTTCCAGCGCTGGGCGGGGAGCTCTCCTCCTCCGATCCTCCTCCTGGGCTGAATGCGCACGCGCGGCAAGAGCTGCGCGCGCATTCAGCCAGTCACATAGGAAAGCATTCATAATGCTTTCCTATGGACGCTGGCGTGCTCTCACTGTGAAAATCACAGTGAGAAGCACGCAAGCGCCTCTAGTGGCTGTCAATGAGACAGCCACCAGAGGATTAGGGGGAAGGCTTAACCCATTCATAAACATAGCAGTTTCTCTGAAATTGCTATGTTTATGATAAAATGGGTTAACCCTAGCTGGACCTGGCACCCAGACCACTTCATTAAGCTGAAGTGGTCTGGGTGCCTAGAGTGGTCCTTTAAGTTAATTCTTTATAACTTTTTTGATAATTGTTTGTTTAGCTAGTGTTACTTCTTTCACTGAAAGTTTTGTAAATTTATGTTCACTGTTTATGACTTTCACCCATCTGATCCTTCATATCTTTTTATCCCAAATGTTATCTCCTCTGGTTTTTCATCTGTAATTACCTCAATATCTCCATGTTTCCCTACCCAAAATGGTTTTTTTTTCTAACCCCAGACCTAATATTTCAGACTGGGCCCTAGAATGGGCATTGATTAGCAACACCCAGTACTCACTAGCAACCAAGCACTGCAGAAAAGCCTAAGCAGAGGTATCATCTCTGGAAGGCTGCCCACCCTCCCCTCCCCTCACCACCCCACCCGACCCCATGGTTATTACCATACTCATAGATAGTGCAGATCAGCTGGTTTTCAAAACACACCAAGCAAGTCACTAAACCTCTCCTCACCTGAAATCATTCTGTTATCAAACTACATCCTTAACCATGGTCATAGGCATGCGCACGGGGTGTGCCGGGTGTGCCTGGGAACACCCTAATCCCGCGGCACGCGCTATGTGCCTCCCTCCGTGGGCAGGTGAGGGAGATCAAAGATCTCCCTCACCTAACCACAGGCATGGAGGGAGGCAGGAGAGGACCCAGGGAGCTCTTGCCAGCAGCTCCGCCGGGTTCCTCTCGCAAGGTCAGAGCGTTGCAGTGGTTACCGCAGAAATGCTCAGATCTCGCGAGAGTTCACTCTCCACTGGGCCACCAGGGATGGCAGCAGCACGGTCCCCCCTCCCTACATAGGGTAAGAAGGGAGGGGGGATATTAACTAAACGGCCCCCACACCCCACACATTACACACAAACAGCACACACACACATACATCACCCTTACACACACAGCACCCACACACATTTTTATTGTATTTTAGTGTTTTATTATAACCATGTGTGTAATGGAGTTTTGCCTCTGTCCTGGGAGATAATTGGATTACTTCCCAATTATCTCCAGGATAGAGGGGAGGGAAATAGGATGCATTGTGGGGATGTTTTACTTCTGTGTCTGTCATTGGTGCATGTCTGTCCCTTGTTAGTATCCCATCTGGTCCCCTAGGGGAGTGTCCACCAGGGGGGAGACCTGCATAAATACTGGGCAGGTAGCCCTGAATAAACCAGACCACTGCTTGACCCTCAACACGGAGCTCTGTCTCGTCTTTGGGGGGATTTACTTTATGCTGTTAGAGACTGATTGCCAGGAGTGTAAGCAGCTTGGGTGCTTTTCCTGTTTGTCTGCTAGCAGCTATTCGTGAGGTTCCAGTTCGGGAGTTTGGAGTGCTACTTTGTATGCAGTTCGGGAGTTTGGAGCGCTACTTTGTAGCTCTTCTTTCGCTCTCCCTTCAAGTTAGTGGTATCCACATAAGTCCATCCTTGCAAGCGCGCTGTCTTGGCGTCATACTTGAATCTGGCCTCACATTTGAGCCTCACATCCAGTATGTTGCCAAATCCTGTAGATTCTATCTTAAAAACATAGCCGGCATCAACCCTTTGTTACGCAAGATGCTACCAAGGAACTTGTCCATGCTCTAGTAATTTCACGCATGGACTTTTGTAACCCTTTCCTAATTGGTCTTTTGAAAAGCCATATTGCCCCGCTACAGTCTGTAATGAATGCTACCGCCGGACTGATTTTGCTCTCTAGTCGGTTCTCTCACACCTCACCCCTCTGTCAGTGCTTACATTGGCTTCCTGTATCCTATAGGAGTCAATTCAAAGTGCTAACCCATACCTAAAAAGCACTGAACAATTCTAGCCCCTCTAATATCTCTTCTCGGTCTCTCCGCTCTGCACACGACCTTCTGCTGTCCGTTGCTCGCACTCGTACGGACAACTCACACTTGCAGGACTTTCCTATGCAATAGCCTGCCTACCGCCATCAGACTCTCCCCTAGTCTTCAGTTGTTTAAGAAGTGCCTTAAAACCCATCTCTTTAGCAAAGCTTATGGTCTCCCAGAGTAACCTCTACCTCACATACCTGTCTCTTGCACTCTCCTAAAGGGCAGCACTATACTCTTTCCTCCAGCTCTGCTTCACTCCCACCTTATTTGATTGCTATTTCCTCTCATAATGTGTTTTATACCCCACCTCCTATAGACTGTAAGCTCGTTTGAGCAGGGTCATCTTCAACCTATCGTTCCTGTTTTCTTGTAATTGTCCTATTTATAGTTAAATACCCCCTCTCATAATATTGTAAAGCGCTACGGAATCTGTTGGCGCTATATAAATGGCAATAATAATATTAATAACAACAAATTAAATACAATAAATTATAGTAAATATTAAATGACTAAGTGTTCTAAATTAGCAAAGTCAATAAAAAGACAACCAGTAAAAAAGGAAATAATAAAAAATATATGTATTCTTCTGTATACCGATACTGTTAAATCTTTTAATAAAAAAAGATTTAAAAAAAACAAACTATACTTTTGTAGTATTCATAAAATTTCACTGAACAACAACAACATTAGAACAAAGAAAAACAGTGGGCGGGCCTGGCTACCGAACTTACTGGTCGCATACACAGTGTGCTCCGTGAGCGATACCCAATATAGGGCTTTAATCTTAAATTTACCTCAACAACCTCCACAATATCTAAGTGGGAGACAATCAGCATACAATCCTGTTACACCCTGACACTTCTTGGCTTTCTGACCAGCGACCTGAGCCTAAACCACTATTGCGGCCTACCTGTGGGAGCGAGTGTGGGAGACAGGGTCGATCTCCCTGCTGGCTTATCTGCTGAAACATGTGCATGTCAGCAGGGCCCCCGTTCCCGATGCCCCAACCCCGCCGGTGTGGGTTATCCCATCCCTAGCACCCAGGCTCTACTCACTTGTCACTGGTTGTCCTGCGACCCAGCTCACGATCCTGCGGTGTAAATATTGTCCCCCCACTGGAGCCAAAATGGTGGATGCCTCAATGCCTATCACACCACAAGTCCTGATGGAGACTACTTTGGCGCGACTAGATGCCATCTTCATGACTTTTTGGTGCAAGCTTGAGGAGAGGCAAAGAGAAGCAAGCCTGCCACAACTTACTTCCCAAAGCCAAGCGCAATGTGTTTGTCACTACGTATCGAAAGAAACGTGCAAAAACATTCCTATCTTCTTCCACGCTTCTGAGTCCTGCACGGTCCAAGATCAGCTCCTGCATTCCCAGGCTGAGGGCCTCGAGGAAGATAATCCCAGTGCCTATCTCACACCCTCGGAGGGTGATTCAACGCTGCTATCCTGTGACCACGGCCTTCCGAGATCCTGCTCCCGGTACCAAGAGTGATCGGGGCAGTGGGAACTGCACACGGGCTCTTCAAGTGGTCTGTGGCCAACAGAGGGGCCGGGCACGGACCTCTGGGACTCAGTCCAGATATGGGACACTCGTGGCAAGCGTTGGGGTAGGGTAAACCCAGAAATAAAGCCTGGATGCCTGTGGTACACAAAGCTACTTTGTCCCCATTATGCTCCATCCCATGTGCCCTAATTGTAATGTCCTGGCAGTCCACCCATCAGTGTTAAACCCTAGCGGGGCATTTATTATGCTCTGTTTAACCTACTACAGACAAGATTTATATGCAGTAGGGAGTTGGTGTACGCCTCCGAATGGATGTATGTGTTTGTACTTATTTGATTCCTAGACTAGTCTAATTGTTATACAGCATTATAACACTGTACATGTTTCTCTGTCAATACGTATATCGTGCTTATTCATCCTCTTGTTACATCAATATAATATACAGGGGTGTGTGTACCACGAGACGAACAAGGCATTTGCCTTGGGCGGCAATTTCCAGGGGGCAGCAAAAAACGCCACTCCCAAATGCCTAGGCAAATACCTTGCTTGCCTCATTTTATGGGATCTGGCTACCTTTGGGCTCCCCCGGGGCAGGCAGGCAGGGAGGAGGGTGGGCGGGCGGCCAACGAGGGAGCTGAGCAGAGAGCTCAGGGGAAAGTACTCCCTCACTGGCCGCCCGCCCACCTGCCTGCCTGTACGTCCGCCTCACTGACCAGCTGCCCCATTGGATCCCAGGTGAGAAATCCACCCAGCTATCCCAAAAGTAGGGATGCTGGGTTGATTTAAATTTAAAAAAATTATAATAATTGTGTGTGTGTCTGTGAGTGTGTGTTTCAGTAAATGTGTGTCAGTGTGTATGTGTTGGTCAGTCAGTGCGTGCGTCTGTTTAGATTTTAGGGAGTTGGCATCCCCCATATACCCAGGCTATGAAAGTTTCATGTATTTAAAATTAATATTCTGCAATGAGTCTTGTAAGTTTCTCAGTCCATCTACCATTAAGATTATAATTTTTGCCCTGATAGCCTTGGCAGCACAGAGTCCTTGTGGCTGCTTGACTATGAATGGTGGTTTCCCACCATATTGAAAGTGATTGGGAAAATCGGGGATAATTACACCATGGATGAACTAACCACTAAACTAAGACTTTCAGAAGCTACATTTCATAAAGTTTCATAAAGTTTGGGAACTCTGGATAGAATGTGAGACCACTTGAATGGGAGGGCCGCGGGTGGTGGTGACAAGCATTCTTTCTCTCTTTAACTTTCTCTTTCTTCTACACTCTTTTGTACTTAACCCTTGCTGCCCATACTCAAAAGCTGGGGGAGTTGATGGAGGGGCGGTTTGGGAGCTGTTGGGGACTGGCCACTGCTCCGCCGCCCATGTTTTCTCTGGGGAGACTCAGTCAGTGTCACGGCTCAAAGCCCATTAAGGAGCCTTGGCTGGAGATCACTTGGGGGGGGGTGGGCACCCTCAAAGTGAGAGGCATGGCACAAAAGCACTGTTATCTGTTCTCAATATCAGGTAATGAGTACAATTCAATATCTAGCTCATCCCATGAAGCTCTCTCGTTCCCTGTCTCCCTCCCGGGTAAATACAGCTACTACAGCAAAACTTGTTCAAGTCTGAGAGGTGTATACTAACAACAGATGTCAATGTCACAATTTCTAGTCGTTTGGTTTCTTCTTTTCGTATTCTTCATGTTAAATATAAAATTCTATTGACTATGCAGATTTGAACAAAGATCCCGAGGCAAAAAGTATGGCTACACAGTATATTTTATGTCAAACATGTCAAGGTAATGTTTTATACCAGTCATAAACTAATGCCAAATATGTCACACACAATGTGATTTTATCAATCTGTCTCACTGTCAAAACCATGTATTTTACATATGTCAATATTAAATAAAGAATAAAAAAAAAAAAGATGATACATTTTGCATTATTAATTTTTTTTTTTTTTATGGGGGTGGAAATTGAGACATATCCATCAAGATCACTGTTTTCAAAAGGTTCAGGGGCGTCTCCCCTTAAGTCCCCCTAGATCTCCAAAATCACCACACCATTCATCTATTGTGATCACCTGACTAAAAGACGCTGCCTATCCACTGAAAGTGATAAAATAGGGCCCTTTTTTCTTCCCCTCATAGATGAAAAATTGGCAACGTGTTTCTTCAACAACAAAAAAAAGGCTTTTGGTCGTTAACTTTTATAATTTATGAGCATCAATAAAAAGCTCAAATGTAGAAGGTCCTGAATTTGGGGAAAACCTAAGTCCTTCATCCAATAACTTTAAATCTGATCCACTTAAAGCTTTATTCTAAAATGAAAAATTTAGGAGTTAAATATTTTTTGTTTCTGCTTATGCAGCCTTAGCCACCCCTTTACTGGCTGTGACGTACACAGCTTGCATGAAAACTAAATGGTTTAATATTCAATCATATGTAACTTACTTCAAAAAAATATTTTTCTCTGGCTTTGTAAATTGAACTTTATTAACATACAGGACTTGGGAATTGTTGTAGACAACAAACTATGCAACAATGTGCAATGTCAATCAGCAGTGGCTAAGGCCAGTAAGGTTTTGTCATGCATGAAAAAGGGCATTCATTCTCGGGACAAGAATATAATTTTGCCTCTTCATAAATAGCTGGTAAAACCACATCTTAAATATGTTGTGCAATATTGGGCACCTGTTCTAAAGAAGGATATTATGACACTAGAAAAAGTGCAGAGGCGGGCTACAAAATTAATAAAAGGAATGGAACATTTTAGCTGTGAAGAAAGGTTAACAAAGTTAAATCTCTTTAGTTTAGAAAAACTTCACCTCAGAGAGGATATGATGACATTATACAAATATATCCGTTGCCAATACAAACCATTGTGTGGAAATCTATTCACAAACAGGACTTTACATAAGACACGAGGAAATGCGTTTAGAATGGAAGAAAGAAGATTTAGTCTAAGGCAAAGGAAAGTTTTTTTTTTTGGGGGTTTTTTTTACCGTAAGAACAATAAGGATGTGGAATTCTCTACCTGAAGTGGTTTTATCAGTCTATGCAGGTGTTTTAACAGCAACTAGATGCATACTTGCAAAAACAGAATATTCAATGATATAATTTTTTAACTGTAGGGTAATTGCTTCTTGATCCACGGATAAAGCTGACTGCCATTCTATGGTCAAGAGGATTTTTTTTTGTTGCAAAATTGGAAGTACTTCAAATTGTTTTGTTTTGCCTTCTTTTGGATCAACAGCAAAAAACAAATGTGAGAGTCTGAACTTGATGGACGCATTCTAATTTAAGCCTATGTAACAGGAGGCTGCTGCAGGGTCTAACGAGCTATGAACAGACCAGGAGATAAGAAATTTTAAATTAAACAGAATTTGCAATAAAGGGAGTGTTAACATTAGATGACTCTTTACAGGAAGTGTTTAGGAAGGCTGTGTAAGTTACATGCAGGGAGGTGTGCCAGCGCTTTATAAACAAAGTGATTTAACTCCTAAATGGCAGAGAACTGAGCAGTAAGACTGCAGGGGCATGGTCTATACACCAAAACTCCTTCATGAAGCTAAAGTTGTTTTGGTGACTAGAGTCCCTTTAACCTCTTAACCCCTTAAGGACACATGACATGTGTGACATGTCATGATTCTCTTTTATTCCAGAAGTTTGGTCCTTAAGGGGTTAATCACAATTTACCATAATTCTAGTTTCCATAAAGCAGAAATTACACCACTGGCCACAGTGGGCAAGGAAGCAAGCTGAAACAAATTTAATAATGGACAGTTGTTTGGGAGAAAGTTAGCAGATTTTGAAGGAGGAAGGATTGCAAGAAATGGACCTAATGTGAGTGAGTGCAAACCTTCAATAGGGCTGATGGGATACTCCTAATGTGTGTATGACCAAATTCCCAGTTTGTTGTGGATGCAGGCCCATCTGGACCTATCATTAATGTATGAAGTAGCTTGAAAAGGTACATACAGTCAATAACCACACAACTCATTTCAATTAGCAGCACTAGCACTATATGTGTTTTTATTTCGGATGTGTACTACATTCCCAAATTGAGATATACTTTACAGCAGCTTTTATTTAGCATTAAGATAAATTAAAGCCTAATCCTTTCTAATTAAAACGTTGATACCAGCTGTCAGTACCATCAGTCATTTGTAGAAATGTCTAATGTCCTTTCAATCAGTTCAAGTTGATACGTTCTTGCCTTATTAATGAGCTGAGCATGTTACTGGGGCAACATGTTTATTGCATTTATTTCTTGCACAATGGTAATGTATTGCCATGATTACGCAGCACACACCTACATGCAGCAATATTGCAACAAACATGACTTCCCTAAAATGAACTATATTTATCAGATTGGAAAGCCAGTTGATCTGTCAGATTAAAATCACACTTATTTATGCACATAGTTACCTTTTATGAGCATTTTAAAGGAAACATTACAAAGTATGAATTATTTTAATCAGTAGACTAAAGCATAAAATATTTAATCATGCAATATTATGAATAATTGGTTACTACATTTTTGATATCTTTAAGGTCTACTGCATAATTTGAGATCAAAGCACCTCAAACGTAATTTCTGAGTGCGGTAGTGCTATGTATGTCGGTGTGACTTTTAGCTTCACATGAGAAACAATTTTATTATTGACTTCTGCCAACTAGAATTCGCATGACCCCTATCCATACGATTGACTTATGAACTAGTTGAGTTGTGTTATCCTCAAAAATGGATATTCCAAACATTGCATATCTATGACAACAAATCTTACTATACAACATTATATTCATTGGGGTTCTTGAAGAATTATGGTATTACAGATTCAAAGTAAAAAAAAAAAAATATAATATATATAAACCTGCTACTATCCATTAACCTGAATGACCCATATAATTACAATTTACAATGCATGGCACAGACAGCTTCCTAGATTTTGTGTACTACATCTTCATGTTTTGCTGGCGTTGCTGCCAAACCAACACAATGCTGTAATCTATAACATCTGGGCATCTGCCTTTGGATGTCCCTGTTTAATAGGGTCTAAGCATTATATGAACTTTACATTACTTCAATGTGCATTGGGTGTATAGCATCCTGAGCACATTCTCATGGCTGAAGTGTATTAATCAGCAGTGATTTGTAAAATGATCTGCTACTATATGGTGTACAACCAAGACTCTCTATCAGGTAGCTTAGAACTCATGCTGGAGGAGAGACAGAGACTTCCCTATTATGTGTACAGAATGCACACATACAGTTATAATCACAATTATTCTACCCCCATTTGTCATATTGTCAAAATGTACAGACTTTCAGCTGTCTGCAATGATCAAGGCAAACAAAAGCAATTGAAATAGTTCAACACAATGAATGCTTCAAGTGGTTTCCCCAAAATTCAACTGAAAATGCAACTTTTTAATGACTTCTCAAGTTTTAAAATGATCCAACCCCTTCATTACAAGCCTCTTTAGTACTTAGAAGAGCATCCTTTTGCTGTTATGACCTGCTGCAATCGAGATACATAGCCAAACACCGGCTTCTGGCAGCGTTCCTGAGGAATCTTAGCCCATTGATCATGAGAAATGGCCTCCAGTTCAGTAATATTCTTGGGTTTGCGTGCTGCAACCGCCTTCTGCAAATCCCACCAGAGCTTCTCTATGGGGTTCAAGTCTGGTTACTGTGATGGCCACTGTAGAATGTTCCAGGACTTCTTCGGTAACCAAATCTTGGTGGAATTTAAGTAATGCTTGGGATCATTGTCTTGTTGGAAGGTCCAATGATGCCCAAGCTTCAGCTACCTCACAGATGGCATGATGTTTTCTCCTAGGATTAGCTGATGGATCAAAGGAGGTTGAATAATTTTGACTATAACTGTAATAGGGACACAATTAAAAGTGTAAACCCAGAAGTAAGAAGCTGCCTGATTGAGAATCCTGGTGGGCTAACACATGGTAGCAGATCATCCTACAGGTTGTTGCTAAATAATCCACTATCAGCCATGAATTTCTAGATAGTAGAACACTTTTTGGTTCATGGAACAGTTAGCCAGGCTGTGCATTATCTGGTAGCATCCATACAGTTTATTGAACATTCCTAATCATCCTATGTAATGATTGGAACTGTTTTTTAAGGATAAACTATGTATTTCATAATGTTCTGCTGGACAGGGGTTATGCAATATGAATAATCCCCAAAGACCACAGTGAGACAATCCTGATGGGAATATTTTTTATTTTTTTTTACAGCTTGGGCTAAACTTTAACAAATATGTATTCCTGACACTATAGGTCTAATAGTGCCATTTATGTGGCCGCCCCCCACTTGCCCCAGTTAAAAAGATATTTTATTTACCTTTTTTTCAGAGATGCGCAGGCCGCCTCATGGCTGGCCCCGCTCACGTTTTGCCTCCCTGGCTGAGATAATCAAATTTGATGGTCTCAGCCAATACAATGCTTTCCCATAGGAAAGTATTGGGAGGCCATTGTGTATGTGGGGCAAAACGCTGTGCTTTGCAAATCAGCATCTCCTCGTAGAGGTGCATTGAGTCAATGCATTTCTATGAGAAATCTTCAACACCTCCATGCTGAGCATAAAGATACTGAACGCCAGTGGTGAAAATTGTGCAGCATGGACCCAGGAAGCACCTCTAATGGTCATCTGAGTGACTGCCACTAGAGGTGTTACTAGGCAGTAATGTAAACCCTTTTCCCTGAAAAGGCAGGGTTTACATTTAAATGCCTGCAGGGACATGCTATAGACACCAGAATAACTACATTAAGCTGGAGACTATAGTGTCCCCTTAAATGTATTGTAACAAGGAACTTGCAAATTGTAGGCCAACACAACCAAGCTATTATATAGCTATTATTTCTAGGCCCAGCTAGAGCTGGCCTACATTTTCTACTCCACTTCACAGTTACTCTACTTTTCCCAGTTTGGTGCTTAAACCCCTATGTTTAGTAAATAAATCTCAATGTGTAAAGTCTGCCAGATACTTGACTAAAACACTGTAAATTCTGTTTTAATTAAAGGGCATGTATTGTTAAATGGCTGTGATGAGATGCTGTGCTGTAATTGCAGAAGTCAACACATTATTTAGCACAAAAAAAAAAAATAACAAACATAAACAAAGAAACCTTAGCTTTTTTACCTTAAACATTAAGAAAAACATTAAAGGACAACTGTCATCAATTTTTTTTACTCCTTGTTTTTTTTATGAAACATTTATTAATACACAAATTAAAATTAAATGATGTATATTGTAATTTATGAGAAAATTCCACTTAAAAAAAAAAAAAAAAATCTGGTTGAACAGTCATATTGGGTTTGACTTTATCTGACCAATTAGCTCTCAGTTTTCTAAAAGGCAGGCTAAAATTACCAAATAGGCTATTTCGGACTAACAATAGTAACTTTGTTATAAACTTACCATAACTTATTGTGACCCTTACTTGTGTGAACATGTCTATTCACTTTTGAAAATTTACCTATGAATTCACGAAGAAAATAGCAGAATTTGGAAAAAAACAACACTTTTTCAGTTCACTGATTTTCAAATAAAAATTGAAATGTTTTTTCTACATCTGTCAGACTTGTTTCCTTATTTCTATGTTCTAAAACAATTCAGCACCATGGACAACTCCAGTCTCTATGTTTATTCCTTTTAACACAATATTTATTTTTTTTCATTATCACCTTGTTTCAAAGATAACATGTGTGTTATTAGCTATGTATTTTGTATCCTACTGAACTTTGCTGGTGGTGGGATCAATTCCACTGACAGGAAGTCCTACCCACAATTGTTTTATTCTTTCCTTTGCCTTAAGTCCAATGCATTAAATTAAATAACAAAAACAAAAAAACAAAAAACAAAGAGGATTTGATGATGTGCCTTTAACATGGTACCATTGGAAGTGAATTTAGAAAAAAAAGCAGCTTATATTTATTTGACTGCACACTATTACATTTTTTATTTGTTTTATATTAATATTTACTTTTACATGAAGCAGTGTTAAAGAGCTGTGTATTACACCACTGTAATATGTTTAGGATGTGTGTGTGTGTGTTTGTGTGTTTGTGTGTTTGTTTTAGGCATTAAAAGAAACATTTAAAAAAAAACAAACAGAAAAAAGCTTACACTTTTGACGAGGAAAGGGTTAAACCCAACTTCTGATGATTGAAATTAACAAACATTAGATGTGTGTGTATTTGCCCATCTCCTGTCAGCATCATCTAATCCTACAGGACTAAGTGACAACTTGCATGGGTATATATTTATTATAAATTTACTATAAGATGAAAAAGCATGACCCCTCTCTCTCTGATGAAGATGTAATCCCTGGGCATGCAGTGCGCCTGCGCAAGCTGTATGGCTATAGAATATTTAATTGATAGCCACCATGATGTACAATCTCAGCCCTGCTGAGACTTCCTATCACTGGAATTGATCCCACCCCATACACATAATAAAACCACTTTTAGTGTATAAGCACAGGCATAATTAATTACACACACCTCCCCCAGTGAAAATGACAAAGCATGATCTGTAAGAAAGGCAAGCAAGAATCAACTGCAGAACACAGCAGCAGTGGGATAAACACATCAATACACTGCTAAATTAATACTCTGATACATTCATACACCGGTACATTAATACTCTAATACATTGATACAATCACACACTGATACATTAACTCTCTGATACCTTCATTAACTCATTATTTGAAATACTGATATATTAATTTATTGATACCTGATACAGTGATCTAGTCACACACATATACTGATACATTGATCAGTTCATCCACTGATACATTAATCTATTCAGACATTCATACACTGATACCTTGATCCATTTATACATTCATACGCTGATACCGTGATCCATTTATACATTCATAAACTGATACCTTGATCTGTTCAGACATTCCTACTCTGATACATTGAAACATTGATACATTGTTCTTACTCACCTAAAACCTGCATGGAACATATACATTCTAGGGCCCCCAGCGCTGGCATATTTTGGGGTGGTGAAAATGTTCTCTTTCTTCAAAGACACATAGCTGATGAGGGACAAAATTAAGAGAGCCACACTGAGCATCACCAGACCCAGAACACTAGCCACCCGGACCATCTTGCAGATTCTCATCCCTGGGGAGAATCAGTTCAATGCAACATAGGAATTAGGTCACAGCAGGCTGTCAGGGAGACACAGAGAGAGGAAGAGAGCAAGCTGGAATCAACGATAATCCACATAGAAACAGAGGGAGAGGGAGAGCAAAAAGAAGATTTAAGAAGAAAATGGAGGGCTGTGCTGCAGAGTGAAAATGGCAGCTGGTTGCGTTAGTGATACGTCTGTGCTGAAATGCCCACTCATTGCTAACACAGAGCTCCCAGCCCTTCCACTCTCTCCAAGGCAAGTGTGATTATTGGAATAATGCTACAAGCTCAGGGTGGGAGAGTGTGTTAGTAAGGTGACTCTAATCTGCAGGTAAAAGGGGGCTCAGCAATACCTGAATATCCTCCAGGATTCCCTCATTGCCTAATAGCTCTGCTCACACTATCCATATGCATCAGGCAGCTCAGATTCAGAGAGAGAGAGAGAGAGAGAGAGGATTCCTCTGCAAGGAAAGCCTCTGGGAAACAAGAAGCAGAATAGGCTCTCTAGCATTAAAAAAAACAGCTTGGGAGACTAAGGCAACATTGTGGAACTCCACCCTAAACTGTATTTTACAGCAGCCCCATCTAATTATCATGTTCAAATCATTATCAAATTATTAAATCTAAAAATGATTTGGGGGTGAAAATGGTTGTTCATTTATTCATTTTCATAATACCCCCCAAATTAGCATAAATAGTTTAAGGATCAGTTTAAGCACCATAACCACTTTCTCTTAGTGCAGTGGCTATGGTGGAAAGACCTTGTCCCTGCAGTCTTTCTTTTTAAAAATGTTGCACTCCGCCTCTGTGTGTACATCCGCCTCTCTGGGCTGTCAATCTCACTTCCTGCTTGGTAGCATCAGGTTTGTACAACTTCTGTGTTTAGTGTCAGCAGTCAAAGCATGCTAGCCCCAGACACTGGACTAGCAGCCAGCAGTAGCTCATCACTAACAATGGTAACAGAGAAACATTTACTCAGCTGTGCAAGAAGTTGCCTGCCTCTGCTGAACTATAATTTCTTCCATGCTTAGTAAGAATTTACTGGTGGGAGTCAAAATATACATCTGATGTAGTGGCATACTTATGTAGAATATAATTACAGTCACAATCATCCAGTAGATGGCTGAGACTGATAAAAAAAGTAATAGTCCACAATAGCTTTATATATAGCAAGTCACCATGTTTATAAATTCATATAAAATAATACTTAAAAGCAGCAATTTAACTAATACAACCCTAAATATACATCACAACTACTTAAAGGGACACTATAGTCACCCAGACCACTTCACCTCAATGAAGTGGTCTGGGTGCCAGGTCCCCCAGGTTTTAACCCTTCAGATGTAAACATAGCAGTTTCAGAGAAACTGCTATGTTTACATTGCAGGGTTAATCCAACCTCTAGTGGCTGTCTTCCTGACAGCCGCTAAAAACGATTCTGCGACGCTGGATGCGAAATTCGCATCCAGCGTGCAGAACGTCCATAGGAAAGCATTGAGAAATGCGCATGCACATTCTGCTCCACTTGGGAGCTGACGTTGGCAGGGAAGGAGAGGTCACCAGCGCCAAGGGAGCCCGGCGCTGGATAAAGGTAAGTGGCTGAAGGGGTGTTGACCCCTTCAGCGCCAAGGGAGGGTGATCCTGAGGGTAGGAGGACCTAAGAATGCTATAGCGTCAGGAAAACGAGTTTGTTTTCCTGACACTATAGTGATCCTTTAATATTTAATTCCTTAAGTGTTCCTATTTTTTTTGCAAGGGTGTTGTCCTTGCCTGGATATCTGTATGTTCATCTTGTGATTATCATATGCTGTTCCCATTACTTAATATTCCTGCTCTTTTATTCAGCTTTTTCGGAGTGCCGTCATGACTATTTTCTGCCATATATCACTGCAATTTTTATATCAATAAATGTGCACTTTTTCATTATTTCTGTGTATTTTTCTGTGGATCGTAAGGGTTTACTGAGTGCAGACTGCATTTTGTTTTGTGTTACCAACCCTAAATATAGTTTTATTTTCAAATTCCTAAATATATCTTAACATCTGTATGAGAAGCTTTGTTCTCAATGTTTACCTTAGAGTTAACCAAACAAGAAACCGATATTATTTCTCTGTTACCCTATATCTGTCCGTCAATTCAATCTCTATCTTTCTTCCGATCTCTATCAGGATTATTCACTAAAGTGGAAATTCAAGGCACATTCAAAGTTTAGATTTAAGGTTCAAATAGCCAAACTGGAAACAGTCTAATACTATCCTTACCTTTTGTGTCACTTTACCCCACTCCCTCTAGATTGTAAGCTCATTGAGCAGGGCCCTCAACCCCTCTGTTCCTGTGTGTCCAACTTGTCTGGTTACAACTACATGTTTGTTCGTCCACCCACTATAAAGCGCAGCAGAATTTGTTGGCGCTATATAAATAATAACATAATAATAACATAATAACATAGACTGCACTATCCTGCCCCAATACAGCCGAGTGAGCACCCACCTCAAGATCCCCATCAAGGATCTTTGACTTTAAGGGAAGTGAAGGCCCCATGATGGCGGCGGAGCAAGCAGCACACCTTGTTTAAACGCAGGGCGGCACCGAAGCACATGCAGATGCGGTCAAGGGCTTGACCACTTGTGAGTTCGGTTGTTCTGCGGGTATCCCTTGTCCTGAGGACCGATTCGTCCCACCAGCTAGCACCTGGGTTCCATGACCTGCTGCACACCTCTCCGGTTCGGGACTGTACTCTACCCTTGGAGGGCATAGACTGAGTCGGACCCAGGGACTGAGCCATAAGACCAGGCCCAGTACCCTTCAGTCATAATTAATGTGGGGAATTTCTATGTTTTACCTTGCTCTCGTGCATACTTATCATCAGTAGTTCTCAACAATCTATACCTTGGGGTCTTGTCTTGCCAGTTGTTACCTGTCTCAATTACCTTACCGGCTTGGGGGCCCCCTAGGGGGCATTAATCGGTTATGGTCACAAGCGCTGTTATACTTTTTTACTAAACTCCTTAACTCCCTTACTTAACCTATGCACACAGCATGTTTACTCAATGCTATAACTTATCTGCCTGCTATAAAATCTAAAATGTGCTGAGATATCTTTACATTTATCCTTACATGCCACGTTAACTCATTGTAATCTCTCTAATGTATACTGTGATACCTGTGTTATCAACAAGCACAAAAAAAAAATGAGAAATATAATTTAAGATCAAAATGTTGCCAGATTTAGCACTTCACAATGGTGCAAAAAACCCCCCCAAAAAAACCAACAACACTTTTTGCATAAAAAGCGTGATGTTTTGGTCTTTATCATTTTTCTACACTACACTGAAGGAACTCACAGGATTTAGGAAGGCCATTCAGATTTTAATTTACTACAGTTCAATATGTAGTAAATAAACCCAATCATCACAGCAGGGATCTCCAAACAATTGTTGAACCATATAAAACCATTGGATCTTTCAGTTTCTGCGTGACAATAGAATGAAACTGAACCTCTGGTCACCTAATCATCTTTGTGTCTCCAATATTTCAAGGAACACTATTGTGTCAGGAATGCAAACATGTGTAACATCACTATTTAGGCTCCCTGGCCCCCCTTTCTTTACATTAAATAGTTGTTTTTACTCACCTTTTCTCCAGTGTCCCCTGCCTTGCTCCACCTCCATGGATGAGATTATCATGTTTGATGATCTCAGCCAATCCAATGCTTTCCCATAGGAAAGCATTGGGAGGCTATTGCACATGCGCGACAAAATGTTGCACTGTGACAGTTAGCTGAAACAATGCATCTCTATATGGAACATTCAGTGTCTCCATGCAGAGCGAGGAGATGCTGAACTCCAGTGCTGTGCACTGTGCAGCTAGGGCACAGGAAGCTCATCTAGTGGCTCTCCGAGTGACTGCCACTAGAAGTGTTATTAGGCAGTAATGTTAACACTGACTTTTCTCTGAAAAGACAATGTTTACATTGCAAAGCCTGCAGGTTTAAGTTGTAGATGCCAGAATCACTACATTAAGCTGTAATTGTTCTGGTGACTATAGTGTCCCTTTAAGTATTGATAAAATAAGTTACACATCCTTGGATTACATTAAATCCTTTCAGAGTGATATTTCATTAAATTGCATCTACAACGGAATGCAGTATTTAGCTTGTGTTTGCTTTTGGTACAAGGCCTAGCTAGCAGTTAGAAAGGGGATAAACTGAGTGAGGTTGAAGAATCAGAGGCGGCTATGTCAGTGGAAAAATACTGATCTCATAGCAAAACTGCAGTGCTCTGTGCCTGTTCAAAGAAATTGCTGATAAGGAGGATGTTTATGATTAATGCAGAATAGAAGTAAGATGCACAATTGGCAAAATGACAGGGTTATTCACTAAATGAAGAAATGTTAGGAACCAAAAGTAAAGTAAAAGAGTATTTCAAATTTAAGGCCAAAAAAGACAAATTGTTATGCTTAGCTGCCTTGGACAATCCATCTACACTTTTAAAAGGAAACTGCCCACCCCAGTGTTTTTAATATTATGTTTGCTTATCCTATATGCATTTGTCACTAGTGAAGTCATTTCCAAAGAAGCGACTGTTCCCTTTAAAACACCCACAGTTACGTTATTTTTTAAGGTTAAAGTCTCTCGTTTAACATAGGTTCAATGTATCTGCTCGTGGAATGATCCCCATGCATAACCAGCCCAATCGTTCTGTGATGGGTAGCAGCCAATAAGCCGATGTAGCTTAGTAGCCAATGTGCTGCTAAAGTGCTGCCTATTTATAATGAAGATTTACTAAACTGAGCAGTGGTTTTTTTTCTGGTGAATCTATATTATTACACCAAAATATGGTTTCTATGAGGTGTATGTATGCAGAACTGCCAGAAAAAAATAGCCTTGGTTCAGAATGAAACGGCTTCATAGGGCAGCACAAAATCAACAACACCAAAAGCCATTTACTATGTACTTTTGCTGTTTTTCGGGCATAAAATAGTAAATTTTATGTTGTACATCTAACGGCTAGTGGGACTATGTATTAGGTCCATGATCGATGCTCTACCAATGAAATGTAACACATAGTTTGATTGACATACACATCAAAAATAGAAATAAACTTTTCAGTGCCACATGGGAGAGAAACACAATACACCATTCTAGTACTGTATGTGTCGCTGGAAGTACTAAACAAGTAAAACAAGCTAAAAAGAAAAGACGCATGGGTTATGTGAAAAAGGCAAGTGCGTCTCTCACCCTCAGCAGATACACAGCTGGTGGGGAAATTTAAAAGAAAATGTTGTGGGGTTTCCTGTACCCCAATGTTAACTGGTAAAGACTGGAGGTTGACCCTCTTCTCCCCCTGTATATGGGGAGGTGAACAATAAATACCGTCTGGAGCATGACAAATGACCCATATCTGTTTTCCCATCTTTTGTG